GGATGGCGGCTTGACCCACATAGCTCCCCTTAGGGCAGGGATTTAGTATAATGAAAGTTTACAAAGCTCAGTGAGGCTCTGCTTCCTCTAAGTCTCTCCCGGCTTCAGCCAACTTAGGCTGGTGGGAGCTCATGGCTCCTCTGCGAGATCATACTCCCTGCAAAAACAACCCTGGGCACCTTGTGTTAGATGGGATTTGCTCAACAGAGCAACTCAGCTTGTGCTAGAAGTCACTGCTTACACCTGGAAGCCAGAGGAATTTCTCTCGGATTTGCTTCCCAGTGCATTGTGGATCTGGGCTCCAGATATGCCTATGTAGTGGGGGAAAAGGAACATTTATAAATACATGGTGGGGGGACAGAAGGTGGCGTTGTGGTCAGGGCACTTTACTCCCACATGGCCGACTATGGTTTGAGTCCCATACCTGGTGGCTTGAAACTCACACGGAGCACATGTGGGTGCATCTCAAAATATTCCATTATTTTTTAAAGAATTATTTAATTTTACTTATTCATTTATTTTAATTTGACCAGAGACAGATACACAGAGAGAAGGAAAGTGAGAAAGCAAGCGGCCAGGTCCAGGACTTGAACCATGGTCAGCCCTGTGGGAATGTCCAGCACCTTAACTACCACACCACCTGCTGGCCCACATGCCCAAAATCTTTTTTCTTTCTTTGGAGGTTTTTTTTTGCTATAGGCCACTTGCACTCACCAGAAAGACAGAGACAGAGAGACACAAAGCAAGAAACACCCCCCAGCGGGGATGGCCACGCCGCAATCCCTTCTCTATTCTCCTCTCAGGATCTTGAGCTGCTCTGTTTGCACCCAGCACCCACCTAGTGACATGGAAATTCTGGAACTGTCGGGTTCTTAAAACCATGGACCAGAACCTCCTACAGGGGACACAGTAAGCACTTGCTTTCCCACCAATCTTCAGAGACTATTAGACACAATATGAAATGTGTGTGGTGAAAATAAGACCAGAAAGATGAAAATCAGAGAAGGGAAACTGGACAGAGTGGGAGAAAGTCTGCATCGCAGAAGAGGAGCGAAGCTAACAGCTATAAACATGACTCGACCATTCCCTGTCCTATAATGTATGCAGTCATTACTTGTATAACACGAACTTTTATCTCGAGAGGCAAAAATCCTTAATTACTGAAATTCTGCTTTATACTCTCTTAGCACCGGGAGAAAAAAAATGTGCAAGAGCACAAAGACCCTTAAAAAGTCAAACGTAGTCTTGAGATGGGAGGAGAGGGTTGGGTGTAGAGCTACCCTCAGCCACTACTTCTAAGAATCCGTCCACACCCGCCCTGCTGCGGCCGCTAACAGCACTAAGTTCTGAAGCGCTACCTACAAACTTTAAGATGAAAATGAAACGACTGCAACAATACCAGCCAGCAATCGGCCCCGCCTCTCTATGGCAGGAAGCGAAGAGACCGGAAGCGGGCGAGGGGGCGGGGCTGGCACCGGAAGTGGGTGCGTGGGCGGGGCTGCTAGAGGAAGCGGGCCTCGGGGGCGGGGCCGGGGGTGGGGTCTCCGCTGCGGACGAGGCGAGATGGGGGCCGGCCGAGGGGGGCGGGGGGGCGC